CCACCCACCCATCCATCCATCCATCCATCCATCCATCCATCCATCCATCCACCCATCCATCCATCTATCCTAGTTATGGATGCATAACTAGGACTTAAAAGCTGCTAATGATGTAGTGTTTAGTTTGTCTTTTAAAAATGATTTTATTTTTTAAATGTATTTTAATTACATGTACATGTGTGTGTTGGGGGCTGGGGGCATGTCTGTGAGTATGGCTCTCCAGAAGGCCAGAAGTAGGCATTGGCCCCCAGGAGCTGGAGTTACACAGTTGTGAACTGTCTGACATGGATCCTGGGACCTGAATCCATGTTGGGTCCTCTGTGAGAGCAGCACATGCTCTCAACCACTGAGCCGTCTCCCCCGCCCCTGATGTGGGTATTAATCTTCATTGTTCTTTGCAGGCACAGGTAAGACAGGGTTTCTCTGTGTAGTCCTGACTGTCCTGGAACTTGCTCTGTAGACCAGGCTGGCCTCGAACTCACAGAGATCTACCTGCCTCTGCATCTTGAGTGCTGAGATTAAAGGCATGCACCACTACCACCTAGGTAAATTGTCATTGCTTTAGTAGTAACATAAAAATAATAATTAAGGTTTTTGTTTATGTATTTGAGGGTGGGTGGGTGTGGAGGCCAGAAGTTAACCTTGGGGGATGTTCCTCTGGTGCCATCCACCTTGTTATTTGAGACAGGGTCTCTCACTGGCCTAGAACTCATTCACCAAGTAGGATAGTCTGGCTGTCCAGTCAGCTCCAGGGATCTGTCTGTCTCTACCTCCACAGCACTGGAATTACAAGAGCAGGCCCACACACCCAGATATATATATTTTTTAAATGTGGGCTCTGGGTTTGAACTCAGATCCTCATGCTTGTGTGGCAAGCATTTTGCCGACAGAGCTGTCTTGCCAGCCCCGTGACTAAGTTTCCCAACTGTAGAAGGATCCACTCTTTATAGTTTTAACTTTCCCGTGACAAGTTTCCTATTCTCCATATCAGTTCCCATATCCATGGATCGGCACAGGACTGCGGCCATGAGGTGCTGGGTATGTGTAGCTCTGTACCAGCTCTCTACTTTCCCTGCCACACTCGAGCTCCCAGAGGGACCCCAACAGACTCTACAGATTTGCGTTGTTTTTATGCCTTGCATAAAGGAGTGTAACGATGCTTCTTCTATCCAACTAATCACCAGCCAGCCAGTGACTGTGAAGGACAGTATGGCTTCTGGCAGTTAGGTAGAACTGTCACCCATAGGTCTATGCCAAGGCCAAGCAAGGTCAGCTGGGCTTACAGTAGGTGGATGACCTTCCTAGACAAGAGACAAGGCTATTTAAAGAAATAGAACGCCAAGCCAAACATCGGGGACCATACTGCCAGCTTCCCCAGAGAGGTCTGGCTCTTCCTTCCCTGGGATCATTCCTTCTGGCAGAGCAGACCTTGCAGCTGCTTCCAGAGAGCCTGGTAGTTTTCAGCATGAATTAACATCAGTAGTAACAGCGATAACACTGTATCTACACCTGCTCTGTACTTTTCAGACTCTTAACTACTATAATAATTATGATGTTAATAGTACAAATCATCACAGTATATCAGATGTATCTAAGATGCTTATATTTGATATAATTGTATATTACCAGTGGAACATATATCTAATTTATGCATATAATATGCCGATATGCATTAGAGGTTACTATAAAAAAAATGCAACTACAATGTATCATAGCCATACTGTTCTCACTCATGTCTTCACAGTAACTTGGGCTCAGACACCAATCCAACCCTGCCAGTGCTCACTTCACTGTATCAGAATACACACTGGCACCATACTGACAACCACTGAGTTCCTACAGAAGGGGAAGCCTGGGAGTACCTGGGAGTGACAGATCAACTTACCTCCACAGCAAATTATAGCAGCCACAAACAGGGAAATGTCACTGTCATCCAGTTCTAGGGCGTTGAACTTCATAGCGAAGTCAAACTTGGGTTCCATGATGTCACAGAACGGCTTCCTCAGGTTCTTTAGGAACTCCCGCGTGATGAAGCCATTGCCGTATGCGATCAGCATCCCATCTTTGTTCATCAAGGAGGACAGCATCGTGAAGATGGCCTCATACACGCCATACTTTAGCAAAGTAACTTGGTCATTCAAGTCCAAGTTTGCAAAGCCTGGGATAGCCTTGGCAAATTCTGTGAGCTCAGTGACGGTCTCCACGGACATGCACTGGCAGCAGTGGAAGAATCGGACCTCTGCCTCCTTGTTTTCCACGCCGTTGGCTACCATCTTGGCCACAAGTGTCTTCTCGGCCATACACAAGGTCTCCATGTCGTGGATGACAAAAGGCTACAAAGGAAGGCGGTCGAGTCAGTCAAGTGACGATACTATAGCAAGCTATGCAGTCCCCTTAAACATCAATGAACCAACAGTAGCTTCTGTGTCCCAGTCGCCAAGGTAGGTGCTAGGGTGATTCAAAGCACGTGTGCAGTGCAGTCCTGTCATTGGACGATTTCAAACTCAGACCACATAAGATTTTGCAGAAAGCTAACAATGTAAGTCAGTAAGATAATCGTTGTCAGGGCTGGAGAGATGATTCAGTGGGTAAGAGCACTCACAAGCATTTGTAGCTCCAGACCCAGAGAATCTAATGCCTTCTTCTGACCTGTGCAGCACCACACAGGCTGGTGGTACCCAGGCATAAACACAGCCAAAGCACCAGCACATATAAAATAAAAATAAATGAAAAAATTAGAAGATAATCATTATTACTTCCTGGCCTTAGGTAGGGATTTCAATACTAAGAAACAATAGTCTGAGGCCGCAAAGATGGCTCAGTGGTTACAAGGGTGTACTGCCCACTTTTCCAGAGGACCAGAGTTCAGTTGCCTGCATCCATGTTGGGCAGCTCACAGCTACGTGTAACTCCAGCTCCAGGGGACTTAATGCTCTTATCTAGGCTCCTGGGTTACTACACTTACATGCCCACACCCACACAGAGACATACATAATTAAAGATATAAAATAAAATCTAGAAAAAAAAAAGAAAGTAACTGAGAGCACTAGCTCTGGCAGTGATGCTGAGATGAGAAGGTAGCCAAGCCCCTTTGCATTTTTATGACATTCGCCAAACTCCTAGATACTATCCGAATGGTACTAAGCATTAAAGTAATTCTTGATTTTATCATTTCGTAAGCCTTGAAGGTAACCATCATTATTTAGCATTGACTTTTGGGTAATTCTGGTGTATAAATATATGTTGATCAGGACTGGCTTTGTGTAGAAATCAGCAAACAGGCCTTTTTCAGCTCTGTAGAGCAAGACCGAGAGAGACCACCTTCCAGTGCAGAAAACACAAGCCTTGTGTCAGTGGCCTGTCCTGGAACAGGAGCCAGATGCCAGCCCGGCTCCCTCTCGGCTGTAGTGCCATGATACCCACACCTGCAGGTCTGCTGCTTTATACAGTCTAGTGAGCAGCCCAGCTTTGTCACTACTGTGTGTGTGTGTGTGTGTGTATGTGTGTGTGTAATGGTTAATTTGGATTGTCAGACTGATGGGGTTCAGAATCACCTACTGTAATGAAGACCCACCCTGAATGTGGGAGGCACCATTCCCTAGGCTGGAGTTCCAGACTGTTCATCTCTGCTTCCTGGCTGTGGCCACCATGTGACCAGCTGCCTCATGTTCTTGCTTGCCATCCAGCCTTCCCTACCGTGATGGACCAGACACTCAGACTGCGAGCTAAAATGATCCCAACATTAATTTACACTTACCAGGTATTTTGTCACAACAATGGGACAAGTTACAAATAAAGTGACCAAAGACAATTAGCTGTGAGATGCTACATCTTCATAGTGGCCACACCATTCCCAAGAGACAAATGTGCCCAAGAGAATATTAGTCAGCCATTAAAAAAAAAAAAGACATCCTGGTACTTGTGATCAGATGGATGGAACCAGAGGACACAAACACCGAGTACTGTCACTCATGTGGGTGCTAGAAACATTGACCTCAGGAACAGAGAGCAGAGAAGAGACTCTGGAGAGAAGGGAGGGTGGATAGAGAGGGATCTGGTAATGCCACTGACTCCAGATACCTTACACTGTTCATAAGGAGTTTAAAGGGAGTTTGAAGTTTCTGGATACAAGATGACAGATGTTTGAGGAGGTGGACCGACATTGGGCTCTGGTTTTATCAGTACCCATTTTGTACTTGTGTCTAATTTCCAGACTCCATCCCACAAATGTGTATAATTTAAAAATATAGACTGGAACACATTTGCAGTCACTGCACTCTGAGGGGCTAAATGTCAGGAACACTGAGAAGAACCAACTTTTACCCCACCCCTGGCTAGAATTCATATTCATATTTGTTAAGTAGGAGTGACGGTATTAAGAGATCTAAATTTTGTGGCCATCTATACCACATGGACACACACACACGTACAATGTCAATACTGGGTGAACACAGGTCACTAAGGAGGTGGTCAGGTATTGTTTCAGTAACTCCTGGTGTATCTCAGTGCACAGATGAAGCATTCCAGTCACCTAGGAGGTGTGTGACCCACCAACCCCATGCTGGGCCATCAAGAGCATCTTCAGGAACCACAGAAGAGATACACAGTCAAGGCAGCCTGGTACAGAGGCAGGGGGACATGTGGAGAAGAGGCGATTTCCTGTGAGGTGTTTAATAAGTAGAGTCTGAACATGGAATACAATGCTGGACCAAAAAAAAAAATCTGATTCTAGGTTGATGAAAGATGACGGTGTGTTAAAAACGGCTTGTTGGGGGGCTGGAGAGATGGCTCAGTGGTCAGTGTATTACCTGCCTTCCACACGCTCTGGTTTCACCAAGCACCCATATGGTAGCTTACAATAATCTCCAACTCTAGTCCCAGGGAACCTGAACCCCTCTTCTACCTTCAAGGGCACTACACACATGTGGTGCAAAGATGTATGTGCAGGCAAAGTACCTGTACACATAAAATAATTCAAGAAATGACTCATGGGCAAGTGAAAACATTCTGTGGGTAAAACTCCAAGCCAAGCTGAACATTACAAGTCAGAACAAGGTAGACCACAAAAAAAAAAAAAAAAAAAAAAAAAAGAGTTTCTCTAAAGGCCTTAATAACTGGCCTGATAACCAATTTTGGGAATAATCTGGGAACAGTGACGCTTCAGATAAAACACAGAAAGTCTGATGACAGAAGCGCAGTGGGTCTATTGATCTGGTCTATTGATCTTGGTGGAGTCTTTTAGGGCAGGTGATATGGCTGGGCAGGTAAAAGTGTTTGTTTCCAAGCCAGAAAACCTGAGTTTGATCCCTGGGACCCACATAATATAAGAAGACTGACTCTTGTGGGATACCCTCTGACCTCCACATATATACCACACTCGTACTCGTGCCCACACGCGCATGTGCGTGCGTGCACACACACACACACACACTAAATTTAATATAATTTTGATTAATTAAGAGCAAATGTCTATCCTGAGTGGGGAGTACTCCTAAAGATAAGTTGTGATGCTAGAGACCGAACTCGGGACCTGGTATATGCTAGAAACGGTTCTCTAGCAAAGAGGCAGACCCTCAGCCCCAAGACCTTTCCTTTCTTGTCATTATTGTCTCAACTGTCAGGCATAACAATCATTTCCATAGCGTTCACATGATGCCAGGTGTTACGAGCTATCGGAATGAGTTACAGTGTAGAGGGGACGTGTGTATGCTTCTCTGTGATTGCTATATGTGGTGGTTTGACTAGGTATGACCCCCTCATAGGCTCATGTGTTTGAATGCTTGGCTTATAGAAAGTGGTGCTATTAGGAGGTGTGGCCTTGTTGGAGGAAGTGTGTCACTGTGGGGGTGGGGGTGGACTTTGGGTTTCCTATGCTTAAGCTACACCTAGTGTGGCACACAGTTTCTTTTGCTGCCAGCACACTGCCATGTTTCCCACCTTGGTGATAACGGTCTGAGACTGTAAGTGGCTCCCATTAAATGTTGTCCTTTATAAGAGTTGCCATGGTCATGGTGTCTGATCACAGCAATGGAAACCCTGACTACTATAGTGTCTTTATTCTCATTCTCAACACTTTTTCTAATGTGCACTCTGCAGAAATCAAAGTGGAAAGCAAGCAAATAAACGGCCAAGATTTCGAGCAACACAGTGAGAGGGGCTGGGACCTCCCGGAGTATTTGACAGGACAGACGTGCATGGGGACTCTTCCAAAAGGGGGATGTGGGGAGGGGTGAGCTCCAGGGGGCTTGATGATTGCCACTACAGGGCAGCTTCAAGGATGAGGGCAGCCTCGGCTACACAGCTCACAGGGTGAAGCAAAATGGAGAGGTGGCCCCTCTCGAAAAGACAATTAAGAATTCTGAGTTATGGGGCTGGAAGGATGGCTCAACAGTTAAGAGCAAGCACTGTTCTCAAGAGAGCCTGAGTTCAGTCCCCAGCACCACACTGGGCAGCTCACGATGTCTGTAATTCTAGCTCCGATGCTCTCTTCTGACCTCTGTGGGCATTTCTACTCGCGCGCACACACACACACACACACACCCCTACACATGACTAAAACTATAATAACTTGGGGCTGAAGACATGGCTCAATGCATAAGAGTACTGACTGCTCTTCCAAAGGACCCTGGTTCAATTCCCAGCACCTGCATGGCAGCTCATAAACTGTTCCAGGGGAGCTGATAACCTCACATAGACACACATGTAGGCAAAACACCAGTGCACATAAAAATTCTTTTAAAAATACAAAAACTCTTTAAAAATTCTATGTCTGGTTGGGCCTGCTGTACATACCTATTATCCTAGTATTCACAAGGCTGAGGCAGGAGGATCCCATGAATTTAAAACTAGCACTGGGTTAACAAGGCCAGCATCTTACAGACATACAAGGACAGTGAAGCTGGTGGCAGGCACTCGGCCACCTGGACATTTCCCAGGCTGGGCAGAGTTGGAAGAAGAAAGATGGGGGTCTCACACTGGAGCAGCAAGTTCTGGGAAGCAGGCCAGCAGTCTGTGCAGGAAGAGAAGGAGGCCTGGCCTCTGAAATGACATGAGACCTGGAAGTAGGAAGTAATTAGTGATTCTGGCCAACAGTGTGGTCAGAAGCAGCTAGATGTTGTCTAAAGCGGGTGCCTGCATAGATGGTTGTGGCTGAATCAGGCACTTAAGTTGCCATCAGCCAGTGTGTGTGTGTGTGTGTGTGTGTGTGTGTGTGTGTGTGTGTGTGTGTGTGTGTG